TCAATCCTCAATTTCACTAGCGATCCCTAACTTCGCTAGCGATCGAAACGCCGAGCTTGGTTTGGGAGCGACGACTGCCCCAGAACCGCGCTAAAAATTACCCCCAAAAAGATGCCAGGAAAGCAGAATGCACTTTTCCCCATGCCTGACATACAAATTAGGATAGTGCTTTCCTCCGTGTACGAAGACGATTAGCTGAGGACGCCGAATACGGCAGTTGTGCTGGCAGAAGCAGCTGCGATCGGTGTGACTCGGTGAGCAGGGTAACAATCCAGTAATGGCGGTCGGTCATTCGGGCGGGTTGAGATTCTCCCGAATGCCCGGATGAGGGTAGGCGGCGCTACACTCGTTAAAATGGCGCCGGCTAGAAAGCCCAACTTGGAACGGTGTAGACTTTGCCGCAAGTCGGTAAGACCCTATTCGTTATTTTTTGTTTAGCAATAAACTCAGTGGCGCCATCTCTTGTGTCACACTTCCGGCGCACTTCCGGTTCACGTATATGTGCTTTCTTTCTTTTTTTTCTCATCATGTTTTTATCATAAAAGTGAATTGAGTCTGTCAGTGCTACAAGTGGCCATTTCCAGAAGATAGCGTGAATGTTGGATTTCGCAAATAGTACGATACCCGTCGTCTAGTTGAGAACCGGAAGTAGGGGGCGGGGGCTATTTTCACACTGACGCCTCCCCGTTTCAACTCACTCGAGAAAGAGCGAATACGCTACTCTAACGGCGCTTCTCTCCACATATCTGTGGCTGTGATTCACCACCAAGGAGGATAGAAGGGTAGGAGAGGGCATGACGCCAGCCGCGTAGCCTCCACAAGCCATGTTCCCTTGACGCCTCTCCTCTTTCTCATTTTCCTCCTTACTCTCCTCACTTACCACGCCAACGTGACCAGATCACGTGACCGAAGCTAGCCTTCGTCTAGCCATGGGGTACTAGAATACACCACAGTCTAGCTTTCGATCTGATAAAACCTACCGGACGTAGAGCGCGCAAGCCTGCAAGGAGTCCTTCTACAATCAACCATCCATCTCACACGTGGCATGTCACGCGCACCAATTGCCAGAGAGATTTACGGTCACGTTGGCCACAACATCGTTTAAACTTTTTATGACTAGGCTTCACCAATATTGCAACGTGCCCTCTCCTAGTACTTCGAACCTCCTTGTTCACCACACAGCTGTCTGTGTTAGGGATATTTTCCCCGTTAAACCGGTGACAGAACAGACCCTTTTCAAAAGTCCATCAGGCAACATTGGTGGTCGCCACTGCTTTCTCACGAAGCGCGTGATTGGTTCCCAGTCCTCGCCGAACGCTGACGCAGGCCTTGTGTGCAATAGATGTTCAGGGTATGTCAGCAAGCAATGACAGACAGGCGCCGTCGAGGACTTTCGGAAAGGGTCTATTGGCCCAGCTTCCGGAGGGCAGTGAACGCGATCGGTATGTCGAATCATTTAGCAACCTTGTTTGAGTTTTAGAAAACCCGGTCGATATATGTAAAAACTTGCGGCGTAATTACCCGGATGTCATTTTTAGATGCGGAGCATCTCTTGCTCGGGTCTATGTCCCGCGGCGTCGTAGTCCGCACTCACACTACGCATGCGCAACTCTCCTCCTTCCCTCTCTCCAACAGCTGCGCGTTGCTCTCTCCGCTCTCTCTCTCTCTACCAGCTGCGTGCACTTCGCGTGCGTTCGCTTCTACTCACACCGCGCCCGCATGCGCAACTCTCCTCCTCTAGTCTCCTCTCCTTCAAGTGTGAATATAAGCAGCGGTAGCGCGCTGCGCGCGTTCAGTTCACCGCTGTTGACTCCACTCCGTTCTTTTGATGAAGTGTGATGGAAGCAACAGTCCCGTCAGTTAGTGGGTTGGCGCAAGCAAGCGCCAGCACCACCCCACAAACTAACAGCAACGCTACGTCCACTGAAGACAAAGCTGCGCAGCGAAGGGCACGCGACGCTGAGCGCGAACGCTTGAAGCGAGCGGCAGACCCTGAACTACGGCAACGAGAAGCGGTGGATGCTGAACTACGACAACGTGAAGCAGCGGCGGTTCGAGAACGTCGAGCAGCAGAACCTGAGGTTCGGGACCGTGAAGTTCAACGTAAACGTACGAAGCGGGCGGCGGAACCCGACCTTCGAGAACGGGAAGCCGCGTTGGTTCGTGAACGTCGAGCAGCAGAACCTGAGGTTCGGGACCATGAAGTTCAACAACGTTACTAACACCGTTAATAACACCGTTAATAACGATCCGCGATGCCCCATGGTTCCCCTCGGGAAGATGGTGTAATTTTTTAAGCTCGATTTTTTTTTTTTGTTATTATTATTTTCTTTCCTACCACTACCAAGAACAACATTGAGAGCCCCGCAGTCGAGACTCTCTTTATTTCTCGACTGAAGCTTTCAAACGTGGCATGACAACGTGAATATTTTTAAATCCGTACGGGGGCAAGACGACGCAATATTTCTCTTTGCGAGTATTGAATGAGCAAAATCAGAAAGCAATACTCCCTTCTTGACCCTCGGATTGCAGTAACAAATGTGACCCTCTGCGAATTTCAGCCGTATGTGTATGCATTTCAAGAAATTGATGGTGCGAGTGCTGACGCTATTGTAAGGGGAGTATTGGAATTGCTTGCCACGAAGAATTGTGATAGCTTAAAGCTCATGTCTTAAAGTCTTAAAGCTTAAAGTCCCAAACAAAAGCTGGTGCGTGATGAATCATCCTCACAAACCAATCGAGCGATCCTCAAGTTTCTTCACGAAAATGGTCTCGCATCGCGACTGAGATACCGTATAGTTAACCTCCGACAGCTTCAACTTGACGCTTCAGCCTTGGGCATTGATGCCTAAGCGAGAACAGATACCCGGCCAATTTGATTGTCTGTATTCGACGTCAGGAGTGAAACAATAAGCCACTCAACCTTAGCGCCGGTTGGTTTGACACTTCGTGCCTTAATACTTTTACTTCCGCACGTAGTTACATTTTTAACAATTTGAGCTTACCCTTTACTCCGCGTTGTTCTAGGCAACACACCCTACCTCTAACACCCGCAGTTAACTATTCCGATCTCTTTTGGTTTGCTGCCACGATCAATATTTTACATTTATTTTCCCCTTCCCTTCCTCTATTTCTTTCTTCGCTGCCTGTGATAGCAGTTTCCCCGTTACGACAAAATATCATTTACGCGCTAAATTTCTCATTTTCACGTCCAACAACAAAAGAAACAGTAGCAAAAGCAGCAACGTCACAAATATGTGGACTGAGCCGCTGAAGTAGCACATCGCTGACCTGCGGTGAAGTGTTTTATCGGTCCAACCGACAGGTATATGAATGAAAGAACACGTGAGCATGAATTGTTTCTGCGATCCACACGAAGAGGGCGTAAGCCTTTGCATTGTCGTGCATTGTCATTGTGATCCAGGCCTTGATAGCGTTCAGATGTCTTGGGCAGTAACGCGTTACTGGTAACGCGTTACTGTAGTTTTGTTACTTTTTTGGTAACTTGTAACTGTAACGAGTTAATTTTTTAAAATGTAACATTTAACTGTAGTTCTATTTCTTTTTTTTTTAGGCAACGACGAAAGTAACGACGTTACTTTTGTCGTTACTTTCCAGTGTTTAATGAATAATATATCACTGATCGAGTACAATTTAGATTTTCCTTGCACTTTTCAAATCGCCTATTCCGACATTTAGAGTGTCAAGTTGGCCTTGCACAAACTTGTGAATACGTTCTTTCCCACGCGTCACTACCCGAATATAGCCACCGTGTATGTACTCCCTTCACTCGGCTTCGTGTTTTGTACGTTGTTTTGGTACCGTTAGTCCGGAGCCAACTCGCCCACATCGCCACCTTAATATTATTTCTTCGCGTGGCTGATCTGGTCATAGAAATTTCGGTACCAGCACATTCCGGCCGGTTTGCTAGAACAACGTGTCAGCTGAGACTGGGTGAAATCAAGCACCGCAAAGGCTGGGGCGTCAGAGCGTCGTTTGAGTCCCGCTCCGCTCGTGCGCTGGTTTTGGCAGTGCTTTCTTTCACCCAGTCTCAGCTGAGGCGCTGTTTCTAGCAAGTCAGCTCAGGCTGAACCGCCCGTCGAAAAATACCTCGGGGCACTCGTGCCTCGAAGCAAGCAAAATTACGTATATTAATAATTAGCGTATATTGCGTGCATCACTGTGAAGACTGTAAAGTTGTTCGTGGGCTCAAGAAATAAAGAATTATTATTATTATTATTATTTATTAAGCATACAATTTGTTTTCAACACAAAATTGGTTTATGATTTTATACGGAAAGCGTGCTCGAGTATAACGAAAGGCCGTTACGCGCAGGTCAAAGGAACATAAAGCGTACATATCCCATAGCAGCTAATGCGTAAGCATCCAAAGCATATAGAAGTATCCTCAGTCGTTATTACCAATATTTAATCGTAATCAGCGACATTTGCAAAACGGCGCAACAGGAATCTAACTGCGGTCAGTGTTATCCGCAACCTTACGCCTTTGCGCAAAGCCACTGGTTTTTTTTTTTTTTTTTTTCGTTATTCAAAGAAGGCAAGCGGGAACAGAAGCAGCTAGACTAAGTATGACTGTGGGGGTTTTGCGGTGGTAGGCGACTGCAGGTCGGCGCGTGCGGTTGGCATCTCAATGACCAAGCGTAACTCCCCGCATGACCTAACAGCGTCACGGGTCCTGAATAACTTTAAACTTGTCTCAATTATTAGGGTTAGTCCAGAAAGTACACGAGCATATCGTGCCTGCAGCTCATCCGAAGCCAACCAAAGTACTCCGTAACCAAATCAAGATGAATCGTAGCGCCTCCATAATGTACTCAAAACACATTCTCTGCTCCTCAGGTTTACAAAAATAATAAAAGCAAGTTTGTTTGTTTTTATTTGGCTTGTATATTTAAAAGCATTGAAGTGGTTTAACTAAACGTAGTTCGTTGTGGTATTGGACCTCGCAGTGCATTCATTATCTTACTATTCCTTGCCAGGGACGAGGCGACCATGAGCGAGGATGGTCGGATCACGATCCGGGGCCGCATCAAGGATATGATCATCAGGGGCGGAGAGAACATCTACCCGCGAGAGATCGAGGACTACCTCTACAAGCACCCCGACGTGCTCGAAGTCCAAGTGCGCATCCCCAACATTCTGGGACATACGCATCTAGCGCGCTATCTCGGGAGGTTTGAGCAAAACAATATAAGAATATGAGCTCAGCTGAATCAGCCAAAATATCAGTATTCACCCCAAGACTTATAGACGACAGGAGTGTAATGATAATTTTAATTAATATGCTGGACTAGTAATATAAAGTATAGCTTTTCCAGAATTTATGGTTTGTATTGAAATACTAAAACAAAATTCAGTGTACAGTATTTTTTTATCATTTCTTGGTCCAACATAGCTTGTTTACATGAATTCGGTCTTATGAACCACCTCGAACAATCTTAAGATCTATCAAGCATTTTGAAGAAACGTAGTATTCCTTACTATTGTAAAAGGGTGAGATTCAGACACGTAGCAAAATTAAGACTTACATATTTTGGCAAAACTTATTCCTAAGGAACTTTTCGTATTGACCACAGTATCAGCACATGCTAAGTTAAGGTTCTCATGTACACTGAGTCCAAAACAATCCTTAAAAATACTCATATGATCATACGGTCGATGGTATGAAGTGTTTGTACATTCTTTTAGACGCAAATTGGGGCCTCGCAGTCTAGCAATGCTAGCAATATTTCTCCAAAACGTTAATCAGCTCATTTTTGTTAATGTCCAACGAATTGTGACGGTTATCAGTTTTCTTCCATCTAGCGTCCCAAGAGCCCAATAAATACACCTGAGAAGACGTCATTAATCCAATCCATAGGTTGGCTTTTCTTCAAATTAAAAATCGTCAACCCGTATATGTACAACATGGATTTTTAAGCGAACCCTACACGACGTCCCTCTTCTCCAAATCTCACAAAAGACGGTTGTCAGGCGGAGAACAGAAATTATTGTTTACTTTAGTTCAATATATAGTGCTGGATACTACAGACGCGGATGTCTGGCCTTAGAAACTGTCACCTTACACGACGAAAACAGCTTCCGACTTCCTCTGAAAGCTGCGAGTGTATTTTAATTAACGTTTCCTGCACGGTGCGTAACAATTGATATAGCCACTTGATGTACCACACACTATTCAAAGATACCATAAACCATGCTTACAAGGCTGGGAGTTATAAAAAGGGGGTTCAAATACTAGATATTTTTTCTACATGTTTGTTCGAGACTCAAAATTCGCTTGTCTCTGTAGGTTGTTGGAGTTCCGGACACCAGGCTAGGAGAGGAGGTGTGCGCATGGATTAAGCTGAAACCTGGGACGAAGTTAAGTCAAGAAGACGTCCGAACCTTCTGCAAAGGAAAGGTCTGTAATGCATCATATGCGCTGTTTCCATGCGTGTCCTTTATAGCACTGACAGCTTTCTCCTGAATTTTCTTGTCAATATATTATTCCTATCATATCGCTTTTTTGGGGGGATTTGTGAAAATGAGTGCTACTAGTTTAGCATATATGAAGGCGTCGGTTCTCTTTCCAAGATATGCTCCGCGAGGTGCTTTTACACTTGCCCATACTAATGTCCGCGTGATTCAATGTGCGACTGATTCCAACTGCTCGGCTTGGGGTGACGTTACATATGAGCGCCGCATGCAATTCAAGGCGCGAGGTGGAGGCGAAAGCGTCTAGCGTCTACGGCCGCTCCAAGCGTCTCTCCGCCCGCCTTTTTGCCCACTGTTCTTTTCGCTACGCGACAACGCGCGCATGCGCACATGCGACCAAGTTACGCAGAACGCGTCCACCATGAAATTACAAGTCCTTCCCGTGTTGTTAGTTCCTCCGTCTAAGAAATCTTTCTAGCTGATACCCATAACGTTGACAACGAATTCACTCTTTTTTCGTTGTTGCTTGCAGATCAGCTATTTCAAGATTCCAAGATACATACTCTTCGTGGATTCTTTTCCGAAGACAGAGTCTGGGAAGATAGTGAAAAATAAAATGCGCATAGAAAGTAAGAAGATTCTGAACCTTTCAAGCGGCTTTTAGAATACAAAAATAAAGACCTGAATCTGGCTTCCTGATTTTTCACTCTCACTCTCATTTTCTCTGTGTTTCTCTGTCGCTCGGGTTCAATTTGGCCCATTGCCATAGAAATGAAAGTTGCGGCTGTGTAAGTACACGATAGGGGAAAGAAGCTCAGACGCATTTAGTGATTATTTTACTAATATAGGGTCTCTCCTAGCAGCTCAGTTTCCGGACGTTCCTGATCCTTAGGAGAAATGGACACCGATTACAAATAGCTTTGTAATGCAAGAAATTGAAGTTATTGAAATTATATCAGTAGTTGGGAATCTTAGAACAGGTAAAGCCGCAAGACTGGATACAATTCCTATTAAACTTTTAAAAAATAATATTGGTATTCTAGGTATTCATCTGATACATCCGTTTAATCACACGTTAGAGAGTGGAATATATCATAATGAGGTGAAGATAGCTAAAGTAGTACCTATTTTTAAAGAAAGATTCTTCGGCACCGTCCAGTTATAGACAAATTTCAGTTTTAAGTACAATCAACAAAGTTTTTGAAAAAATAGAATGCAAAAAACGTATAATGGACTTTATAACTAAATAATCGATATTTTGCCACAATCAGCACGGATTTAGACCAAATAGATCCACGTCCTCAGCGGTTTTTTTCCTAACTCAACATCTAAACAGTGCTCTCCATGAAGGTAAAAGTGCCGTTGTTGTATACTTAGATATAAAAAAAGCATTTGACACAGTAAATCATAGTATCATACTTCATAAACTCTATCAGTATGGCTTTCGGGGGAAAACGTAGGAGCGGTTTAGTAGCTATCGCTCTAACCAGAAACAGTGCGTAGTAATAAAATAATTTATCTCTAACCCCCCCCCCCCCCCCCCCCCCCAAGACGGTTTAAACTGGTGTACCACAGAGCTCATTTCTTGGGCCCATCCTTTTTTCTCTTTATGTAAATGATTTTCCGTGGTTCTTGAAATGCTCGGAAGCGTACGCCGACGATACGGGACTGATTTTTTTTTGGCGATACAATAGGCGAATTGCAGGATAAAATCAATGAGGCATTGACTAGGGTACTGACATAGATTACAAGTAATCAACTTACAATCCACCTAAAGAAATCTAAGTATACAGTGTTTCACTCCAAGAAAAAGGTGATCAATTACGAGGAGAGAGTTATACAATTAGATAATACGGAATTACAACATGTTGCTTGTTATAAATATTTAGGTGTTCTGTTTGATTCTGATATGCACTGGAAAAGCCAAATTAAACAGATGTGTCCAAAAATTGCATAGGGTTGTGATACATTATTAAAGGCTCGCGAATGTTTTGATTTATTCATTTTGCGCAAACTCTATTTTGCATTCATGCGCAGTCAGCTGATTTATTATATTGAATCCTGGGGCAATTCTTACGCTACATACTTAGATACGGTAACTCGCTTGCAAAAACGGGCGATACGATTTATAACATTTTCAGGAACAGCTAACCCTAGTAGTCCTCTTTTCCAATTGCTGAACGTGCTGCCATTCAGCTGTATTTACAAATTAAAAATAGTTCAAACAGTTCTTAAATCATAGAGTCTAATAAACCCCTCTCTTTAGCTTATTTTCCTGTGATTTCAGATAAAGCTTCAGATAACTGGCGGCCATGATTTTACGACACAATATGGCCAAGTGTCGTTGCTTTGAAGCGTAGCTTATTTAGTGGCACTAATGAGCTCCGAAGTAGCGCCGATAACGGCCCTCACCGGCCGCGATGATACTGTTTTTCCCGGCTCAAGCGAGTGCAGGTTTTTGTTGCCCCAGCTTCCATCAGGTGATGCAATGAAATGTTATTTTAGGCGTACTCAAAAGCGCTGAAAGAAGTAACGAAATGTTAGTACGTAATAATTTGCGGCTGCTGCTAAAAGAAGAGACTAAAATGCCTAGGGCATTCAAGGACGATATTTCTTTTGCAAAAGATAAACTTGAGATTCTAGATGGGGTACAATATTGTGGGGCGATTGTTAGAGCCGTAGCCGAAAGATGATTAAGAGGCGAAGCGCCAACTAAGCGTGCGCTGAGCCTCGAGAAAAGATATGCTCGGCGTAAATAGATAACGGAGGTAGAGAGGAACGGATCAGTTACGAGCGATGAAGATGAAATCGATCTCGCATTTTTCGAATATAATAGTAGATTAGTTGCGTCCTGTCTTGTAGATACCGAGCTTTTTAAAGATGAATTTTTGAATTTCATGCCGCGCATAGATAACAAAGTCAAATTTGGGGGTTTTACGTGCCAAACCAACGATGGGCATCTGGCACGCCCCAGCGGAGGACTGAGGATTAATTTGGACCACCTGGGGATCTTTTGACGTGCAACCGAAAGCTCGGTTACACGGCGCCTTTTCCGCAATAAGCCTCCGTCATATTGCGGGCACCTCGTTCGGGATTCGAACCCGCCACATGGGGATCCGTAGGCCGGCGCTCTCAACTCGGAGCGGGCATAGATGAGAAAACGCAATAATTACTAGAATCGACCATCAGCGTAGATGAAGTGGTCTTCGCAATAGAAGCCCTGAACCCGAGAAAGTCCCCAGGCCCGGACGGCCTAAGTGCTAATTTTTATAACACTCAGAAATAAGAGACTGCCGCAGTCCTAGCCAAAGTATTCAATAAAGCACATGATTTGAATATGTTGCCTCCATCTTTTATGTCGTCGCACACAGTGTTAATCCGCCAAACCCAGAAGGCGCGGTAAAGTTGCAGCAAGTCACAGCGTATCGGCCGATCAGTCTGACTAATATCGACTACAAAATTTTAGTGAAGATCTTAGCAAGGAGGTTGAAAACTGTAATATCAGAAATAGTGGGGCCCCATCAAACTTGCGGCATAAAGTGAAGGACTACTTTCACCAATATCCATAAAGCACGCAGTGCTCTGGGGTGTTGCGACGCAATGCTTACGTGCGTTGCGATGCTCCAGGTAGATTTGGAAAAGGCCTTGACCGCGTGCCTCACGACCTGCTTTTAACCATTCTCGATCATGTAAACGTCGGCGCTGTTATCCGCGAATGTGTCAGCATGGCGTACAACGGTTGCTGGACGAGACTTATGGTGAACAAGTCGGTTGGAAAAAGAATAAAAGTGAATCGATCCGTCTGCCAAGGGTGTCCTTTGTCTCCACTTCTTTTTTGTATTTTCAAAGAATTCCTTTGCATTAACATCTTTAAAAACAGTTACATCAGAGGTTTTAAGCTGCATACGACCGAAGTTAACGTGTTAGCGTATGCTGATGATATTGCAGTGTTTTGTTCCAACCGCGAGAGTATTGTTCAAGTCGTTCACACGTTTTTGTGAAGTTAGTGGCAGCTCTGTTAACTGGGCCGAGTGCCTAGAATTTTGGCATGAAGAGTGGAGTTTTACTTTATGTTCGTTTGCCAATATTCAGCGGGTGACCACCAACGTAAATTATTTGGGAGCGCCTCTAAAAAATTATCGCGACAGCGAACCTTATTGGCGCGGGAAGGTGGTGGAGCTTCGCGAAAAAGTAGAAAAAAGCCGGAGGTATGATCTGTCTATTTTTGCACAGGTCACAGTTTGCAATTTGTTTTTTGTCAGCAAACTGTGGTACGTTCTCCAAGTCTTGCATTGTTCGCGGGTAAATGTGAAGAAATTGCGCCGGGTATTCGCAGTGTTTATCTGGGGCTCCACGTGGAAGCGATCAAGTGGGACGAATCTTTTCAGGCGTGTACGCAATGGGTGCCTTGGTTTGACGCATTTGTTTTTTACGCCAAGTTGTTAATCGGGTCATGTATTTTTGGGACATAAGAGACCCCTTTTTTCGCACCGTTTGTCAAGTGAGAATTGCAAACAGGTTGCTTGAATTGATTGTCTCCACGTCTTCGATATCGGGCGGCATTCATGGATATCTAAAGGAAGTGGTTGCCTCATGTAAATTTTTGTTATCTCGTTTTTCAGTTGAGTATTTGAGTGAAGTTCCTCGGAAAAGATTGTATAAGGCTGTGTGCGATAGTGTGTTCCCTGTACCTCTATAAAGAGCCTTATGTTGTGCAGGCCAAGGGCAAAATGTTTTGAAGCGCGTGAAGAGTATGGTGGTACCCGCAGGCACCAAGACTTTATTTTTTTAAAATTGCATTCAGGTAACCTGCCGGTCAAGACGTGGCTCAACGAGAGGGGTCTTTTCGTCACTTGGGGGGATCACTGTTTTTTATTCAAGAAGCCAGAGACGGTCAAACACGTGTTTCTTGAGTGCTGGGATGGGGTCTTGTTCTGGAACGCCCTCAACGTACCCTGAAAAGGACCTCCCCATAGACGTGCATGGACTCCGTTATGTTTCGGTTAAAAACGAGGAACGTTTTCCCTTTGACCTGGTTATGCTGTTGGGTCTGCACAGTATTTGGAAGTCCCGAATGGCTGTACGCAACGCCGCCAGTGATGTGCGGGAGGTGCGGGAATATTTTCGTGAAAGTGTATCTTTGTTGAAGTCAAAAGAGCACAAAAGTGCGAGCCTGAGTGGCTTCCGCGCACTGAGGCATTTTTGTCCATGAAACATTTTTAGCACCCGACACCAGTCACCTCGGACCGGATTAGTTTAGCCTTCCTCTGTTTCCTATGTTTTAAGCGGTATGCCTGCCTATTTAACAATGTGAAAATTTGACAATAAAAAAAAAAAAAAGAATCGGTGGCAGCATCAAGTGGAATGCAGGGATTGGTGTTCCACGCGCCGCACGTGCTGGCCTCAGCTGTAGTAACTTTTCTAAAGCAGATGCCTAAAACATATTGCACCTTGCACGCGCGTTCGTCAGCGCTTTATTTTGGCTATTTACTTCGAATCTTTTATACGGGGAAAGCGTGAGCGTGTGGCGCGTGGAACACTAATTCCTGCATTCCCCTTGATGCTTGGGTAATTTAGCAATAGGTCAATAAACTATACGTTCGCTATGTGACTTATTTTTTTCCCGCAGAAAGGATATTTTTTCTGCTGACAGCGCCAATGAAGGTTCACTAACACATAATGGACCACGACACGAAATGTGGAAGGCCTCACC